TTCCACATTACTATCACACTGCATCACAGATGGTTCCTCTGCTTTATAGTGGGCCAGGACCACTATCAGCTTATGGCCCTCTCTTTTGGCCTTTGTACAGCCCTTCGAGTATTCACAAAGTACATGGCCATTGTGGCCACTGCCCTGAGAAAGCGGGATGTCTAGTGTTCCCCTACCTGGATGACTGGCTTCTCCAAAGCTCCTTGAATCAAGGCTTAAGCCCTTTAGTCTCACAATGGCTTTTAGAGCCCATACAATATAAGAAAGGTCTACCAAAAGGGAGTTCTATGTTTGTAGAGCTACGATCAGGCACTTAATCTGGAATAAGATATTAGGAAAGTGGTTAGTCATCAATATAGATTCTGGACCTTTAAAAGTCTCTGTTTTTCACACTTTGTAAAAAGCATTTACTTGGCACGTAACAAAATACATTTTCATATGAATGTTTTCCACGCGTCTTCTACAATTCAGGACCTGACCCTGAGCTACGTTGAGCACCCTAAGTTCCTACTGCTATCAATGGGCATAGAGATGTTCAGTAACTCATAGAATTGGACCCTAAATTAGGCATAGAATTAAGTATAGCCCACAGTAAGGAGAGGTGGATAGCTGTCCCACCTAAGAGATATCTGTGCAGACATTCTTTTCTCAAGTCAGTGGATTGCCTCCTAGAACTAAGGTAGCAAGCCCACTCCTAGGGGAGGTGAAATTTACTTCCCCATGCACAGCTAGAGTGGGTGTCTGGGGTGGAGACATGACGGACATCCCTCATTACTTAAGGGTATGTCTACACAGCAGTGTTATTTTAGAATAATGTTAGTTAACAGACTAACGTTATTCCAAAATAACATAGTCTGCGTCTACCCTACAAACAGATATTTCAACATAATGTCAAAATTATGTCAAGATGGAGGACTTCCTACTCCAACTTCTGTAACCCTCATTTCATGAGGGGCTCGTCTACACTGGCCCTGATCCTCCGGAAAAAGCGCCCTTTTCCGGAGGCTCGTATTCCTAGTAAAAGTAGGAATAAGAGCCTCCGGAAAAGGGCGCTTTTTCTGGAGGATCGGGGCCAGTGTAGACCCTCTTTTCCGGCTTTTTTAAAAGCCGGAAAAAAGCGGCGGACATTTTTATTTAAATGCCGCGGGGGATATTTAAATCCCCCGCGCATTTCCCTACTACGACTGGTGAAATTTACATGCCCCTTCCGGAAAAGGGGCCAGTGTAGACCCTCTTTTCCGGCTTTTTTAAAAGCCGGAAAAAAGCGGCGGACATTTTTATTTAAATGCCGCGGGGGATATTTAAATCCCCCGCGCATTTCCCTACTACGACTGGTGAAATTTACATGCCCCTTCCGGAAAAGGGGCCAGTGTAGACGTAGCCGAGGAGTAAGGGAAGTCGGAGGAAGAGTGCTCTTTCTTGGACTTCTTTCTATTTTGACTTAAGCTATTCAATTGACATAGCTCAAGTTGCGTAGCTTATTTCGGCTATAGTCCTGCTGTGTAGACATCCCGTTAGAGTTCTGTGTTCCCCAAAGAAAGGCATGAAGCACACAGGCTACAGTTCTGCCTGGTTTTTATATGGCCAGTGCAGACAGTGTTGGGAGATGCCTCTATTGTGCATCCACATAGGGATCAGGCAATATCTGGCCCTTAGAAATTAAGCTACTACTAGCTCCTATTAAAGTAAATGGCAAAACATCCATGATCTCCAGTAGCAGCAGGACCAGGTCCAATATAGAAGAGGAAAGTAAGATTTATTAGAGGCTATTTGTTTGTGTGTGTTCTACACTGAACAGCAACATGTGGTGTTTATCATCTCATCTCTGTCTTTTAGATATACTGTGAATTCATTAATTGTGACTTGTATTATGAGCCACAATGAAGAACTAAAGGAAACAGCATCAGAGAGAATACATCATACACTGTGAAAGTGCTCTTTGTAAAGCCATAGGATGTACTCTGTTATTTGTATTCATCAGTGTCCTTCACCAAGTAAATATGTAAGCTTTTAATTGTCAGCAAATGTAAACCAGACACATTTGAAGCGAGCAGTATAAAGCCTATAGAACTCAGTTGTCTAGTCCCAGAGAACAGCACTGATTTGATTACTTAGAACAAATGTCTTTGTAGGTGGGCAGCCCGTCTGTCCCTACAACTTACTCAGAACAGATGGAAACAGCACTTCTCAAAACACTAGCAAGACCTGCTGCATACATATGTGGTGGAATGTCAGAACACTAAAGCTTTTGATAAATTATTGCACATTACATGTGAAGAGGACTTTGAAAGAAAGAGAGATAATAAAAGTAAATAAGGTACAGTCAGCAGAAGCAGAGAAGATAGATAGGAAATGAGCTAGCAGTTCAATAGTGCTAAACAATATCCTGAGTTGGCAGTAGTTTAGAATCATTGAAGAGATTGTATCTCAGCTCTTAGAGGAAGGCGGTTCATGTTACTTAATATTTGCTGGTTGATCAGCGCTCAGTTATTGCTCTTTCTGAAGATGGATGAACAATTCAGCTCCCTCTTCCTACCAGACAGTAGTCTTCCTGTAAGGAAGCATACTTACAGGGAAGCAATTAAAGTATTCTTGAGGATGAAATACTGGCAACACTCCCACTGACTTCAGGGGGCCCAGAATTTCACCCAGAGTCTCTAAACTTTGGCCTTCTCAAGCAGTAGTCCCAGATAAAAGATGTGTAAAAATGGGCAAGTCAGTGCAGCAGAAGTGTAGTAAAATCAAGGCATATAGACATGAATGTGTGTGTGAGAGAAAGTGACAACATACCCATGGTCTAGGAACCTTCCATTTCACTAGTTCCTTGACTGAGACGACTTTATGATCATTGTTATGGTTGCTTATTATTATCTCCTGTCTCTATTACCTAATGTGAATTAAGTGGGAAATATGTCTGAAAATGAGTAATATACTTTGTTAGAGAAAAATATACATATAGTACAATTACAGAAACATCTACATATAGTTTGCCTTTAATGTACTAAGATGTGGGGATTCTGCTTTCTTATATAATTCTCAAACTTTGCATATGAATCCTTCTTGAGTGGAAAAAATAAAGCCAGTGAGATGCCATTGTCCATATACACATAATATTTTGATAAAATGATAACTATCATTACATAATGTGCGCAAAATACTGGTTGTCAATTAGTGATAAGTTCACTTCAACCTTTTAAACACAACAGCCATACATTCCAAAGTAAAGGTCTTAGCTTTCAAAATAAAACGCTAGACACCAGAATGCCTTGTTAACATTTAGATACATAGGTTCTTCAGGTTAGCTTCTTGTTAAAACAGTAACACAAAGCTATAATAATTCCATAGCTGTACAGAAATACTTCACTAAACCGTAGTTTCAAAACTCAGTTGTCATTAGTGATTAAAAACTCAGGACCTTCTGCGCCAAAAGTAGAATTCTCCACCACTTATTCTAAAGGAGAATTTATAATGCTTAGCACTTAAACTGTGTGATGCTTTTTATGTTTACAAGGTCCTAACATTAGTAGTCACAGTAATTCAAAGCATATTCATACAATGCATCCTAGAGATTTGAAATAAAAACAGCAGACAAACTTTTAAAAATAACTGCTGATTTTCTTTGCCTTAGATGTTGAGTATCCAACCTGAAACACATTAAAGCTGTTTTTTTGAGTAAAGTGCTATGCATTTTCTGAAAATCACATCCATTCAAGAGGTTTCCAAACTAAGTATCCTGAAATGGACACATCCCAAACCAACAATCTCTTTTGAACATGTTGCCCAATATGATTATTAAACTATCAATATATAATTTTATCTAACATGTGTGTGCACACATAGACACATAAAAATGTTTATTAAAAGGGCTCGTCTACATTGGCCCCTTTTCCGGAAGGGGCATGTTAATTTCAGCCATCGTAGTAGGGAAATGCGCGGGGGATTTAAATATCCCCCGCGGCATTTAAATAAAAATGTAGGAAGTAGGAATAAGACCCTCCGGAAAAGGGTGCTTTTTCCGGAAGATCGGGGCCAGTGTAGATGCTCTTTTCCGGCTTTTCTAAAAGCCGGAAAAAAGCGGCGGACATTTTTATTTAAATGCCGCGGGGGATATTTAAATCCCCCGCGCATTTCCCTACTACGATGGCTGAAATTAACATGCCCCTTCCGGAAAAGGGGCCAATGTAGACGTAGCCAAAGTGTTTTAAAATATTAGCACCATCATTTCCATTACTGCTAATACTGCTAATAACTCCCTGCAACCCTTCCACACATTCTCCAGCTAGCATGTTAAAAATTGTTAAATGTTAGCATGTTAAAATAGCAGTATATTTGGGGGGCACCATGATTGGTGGCTCAGGCTAGCCATACCCAGCGGGGGTTATGGGGCAGGTTTGACATTGGCAAATAACTTGTAAATAGCTTGTTAATATTCTAATGCTCTCTAGATATATTATGCATTCAAACAAATTTGAAGTTAATTGTAGTTTCTCAGATTTTTTTCTGTTCCAGTCACCATACAAAGGCTATGGTCTTTGAGTATCAAAAGAAGCAATGGGTGACATCTCGGACCCAGGATTTCACTCAATTGCTGATTTTTTTGTTTTTTGTTTCTTTTGTGTGTCTGTTCACAATCATCGCTAATGATCTGAGAAGGCATTTTAACACCTCCTGGGAATATTTATTTGAAGGGAAAGTCTCACCATTTGGTTTTTGATGTTCTATCAAATCAGGGATATTATTTGTACTTTTTTGACATTGCATGTAGGGCAGGAATTCTGCTTTTTCCACTTGCTTCTTGTGTTTGTGTCAATTAAGTATGCAATACAGACACTAGATGGGCAGCCTTAACCTGTGAAGTCAAAGGTAATTGTTCTGGAGTAGATCTCTTGACAAGTATGAAATCTAATAGTGCCCCTTTCTCGTGTACATTGACTGTAGGCTAGTATAATTTTCCCATTAAAACTGCAGCTATTTCCCAGCTATTGTAACAAACAACCCACCTGTAAAGGGCTGAAAGAGGCCGCTTGTTTCCAGGTTTTGGTCTGTATGGTTTTGGTTCTCCTGCCATGTTGATGTCTGAAAGCAAATATTTGGTACATGTAAGTCAAAGGTTAGTTGGTAAGAGTGAATCTGTACACACAAAGGATGCTGTGAAGATAAATAATAAAAACGTAGAACATGAATTTATAACAAACATTCTGATTAAGTTTTAACTACTTTTAAGTTGATGCCATAAAAGTGTCCTTTTAAAAATATTTTGCTAGATTGCATATGTGTTTAATCATCAAGGATAATATACAAAATTCATATTTTTCATAGTGCTATGCTGTGGTTCATGGAGATATTGTTAAGTTTAGGTTAATAATGTCTCTCTGTTCTAGAAATGATATAAACAGACGAAGGGGTAGATAGTCACACCACTATTTTTTCAGAGAAGAAGCTGTCAAATACTATTGTGAAAGCAAATGGTGATTCAGCCAGAATTCTTTCTTGAGATTAAACCAATGTTTGAGGCAATGCAGCATCAGCTGCTTCCACTATATGCCAGCTATCACAGCTCTCAGCATTTCAGTGTGGTAATGCCCTGACAGACAACAGGTTCGTGTCCCCCATCTTCTGGTATGCGGTTTAGAGTTACGAATACATTTGTGGTGCTAGATTGAAGTGGCTCTTATACTCAAGGAGCACACACTGTGTGATTCTGACTAGTTCCTATGCCCCCACAATCTCATCCAGAGATACCTTCCCCAGAAAAGGAATGTGACATAAAACTACTTTCCCCAAACACAACCCTTTCAAGGAAGCAGACAAAGTTCCGCAGGCAAGTTATCTTCAGAAAATGTACTCTACTGTTTAAAATATTTGAAATTGATAAAGGGCGAAGCACATGTAACTTCCACATATAATTTCATCCTAACAGCTACTTTCTCAAATATCCTCTGTGCATTTCGGTGAAATGATGCATGCCTTGTATACTTAATAGTGTAAATGCATTTCCTTACCCCAACAGTTTACACTGGTCTTGAAAACATTCTAACATCTGATATGTGAGCAATCATTACTCACCCTGGATCTATTTACTGTAGTGTCCTTGAAGTTATACAACAAGGACAGAGCTAATCTGATGAGGGCATAATAGAAATGTTCATAAATCCATGTGAAGTTCTAGTGATAGCAACCAATGAAGGAAAAATCACAGTCTGTTCTAATGACAATTTTCTTCCACTATTTGATCTGAGGAAGTGGGTCTGGCCCACGAAAGCTCATCACCTAATAAACCATCTTGTTAGTCTTTAAAGTGCTACATAGTCCTGTTTTTTGTTTCAGCTACACCACACTAACACGGCTACATTTCTATCACTGTTCTGATGAGATTGCCTTGACTCAAATGACTATACCCATACTTAGAAAAAACAGCCGTGGAAATAGAGGGCTACTGCAATTTAATGCACAGACTCTAACACTGCTTTAACCCAAAGCAGTTTAGGCTATTTTATATAAATAAAGTATTTTTGTTGGAGATTGGACATCATATAGTAGTTTACACTGCAACATTATTTCAAAATAACTAACGTTATTCTGAAATAACTTAGCCCATGTCTTCACAGCCGGCAGTTATTTCTAAATAGTGTCAAAATACTGTCAAGCTGGAGGACTTGTTACTCTGACTCCTCTAACTTTCATTGTATGAGGAGTAAGGGAAGTCAGAGGAAGAGTGTTCTATTTTGAAATAAGTGCAGTATAGATGCTAACTATTTCGAAATAAGTTATTTTGAAATAAGCTATGCAATTGACGTAGCTCAATTGGCATAGATTATTTCAAATTAAGCCCTGTAGTGTAGACGCACCCATAGTGTCTACACCATGGGAGTCAAAGAAATAACCTTTGCACCTCAGTAAATAGATTTTGTGGCATCTTTATAGATACTGGCACTTATTCTCCTGATATTTACACCAGTATAGATAAAGAATAATGCCAATGAAGTCAGTGGAGTTACTGAAATGTCAAAGCTTTTATGGAGTCAGATTGTCCTGGAAAGGACCTTGTTGTCTATTTAAACTGAAGCAGAGTGGAAAACAGCAGTTTGGGCAGAACACTATCAGGATTTGGTCTCTGGCATATAGCCCAGAAAACATTAGGCATCAAATGTCCCTTGGTAAATTCAGAAGTTAAAATAAAACTCTTTATATCTTTGATCACTTCCCCCTCAGGGATTTGTTTACTTTCAGCATAAGCTGGTAAGGAAACTGATTCCCCCAAGAGAAATCGTGAATGAAAAATATTTATTTGAAATTTTTTAGTTGAAAATGATGGATTTCTCATTGGATGTTTCATATAATTTCAATCATACTGTAAGATGCTGCCTCTATCCAATAAGTTTGTTTTATGATGTCATTAAATATATTACAATTGAACGCTGTGCAGCATCCCCAGTACCTCACTCTGGATTGAGAATGGAGTGTGGTAAATAGCCTGAGAAAGTTAGTGTAGCTTTTTCACATTCCATTGTTTCTCATTTCTGTGTGCTTTGACTTCCAGTTCTGTTGAAGATTAGCAGTGAATTTGTTAACATTTCTCAGGAAAGATCATTTCATGCTGTTTCTAGACCAACTGGAAAACTTATGAGATAACATTGCTTATCCTTCATTAAATTTCACAGTAGCCATTTATATTTATTAGGCCATAAATGGTATGTGAAATAAAATTGTTGTGAACAGTGTGAAAATGTACCTACTGTCAATGATTTCCCTCTCAGGAATGTGGATAAATAGAACCCTGCAAATTCATAGATATTTGTGGACCATGTTTACAAATCGCGGGTTGGGATACAGATAGATGCAAACTTTGTGGCCATGCAGGACTCTACAAACATCACTTCTTACACTGTAAAATGAATTGACACATTTGTATTTAAATATAAAGAAGACAATTTGACAAGAGACATAGTGATGCATGTTTGCTTCTCTGAGGAAATGACCAAGCCCATAGGCTCCTGAATCCTATGTGTTTACTACCTTCTACTGTAGGGGTACGTCTAAACTACATTGCTCCGTCGACGGAGCCATGTAGATTTGTTTTTTTGGCAAAGGCAAATGAATACGTGATTTAAATGATCACGGCTTCATTTAAATTTACATGGCTGCCGCGCTGAGCCGACAAACAGCTGATCAGCTGTTTGTCCGCTCAACGTGGCAGCCATGTAAATTTAAATGAAGCCGTGATCATTTAAATCGCGGCTTCATTTGCCTTTGCCTATCTGTCTAATCTACATGGCTCCATTGATGGAGCCATGTAGTCTAGACACAGCCTAGAAGAGCAGTGCTAATAAAGCTATGAGACTAGGACTAAGACTATTTTCTGTCTTATGCACCATCGGCAAACTTGATAACTAATTTTGAATATGGAATCTTTGTTGCTAATATTTCCCACATTCCTGAGATTGTATGGCTAGCAAATTACATATAAAAGAGGGAAATTTGATATGTAAATCACTGAGAGACAATATGCAGAACCATTACTAACTGCATAGCATGTTCACTTCAAAACAATATTTAATTACAGGGATTGAAACCAATCAATGTCATAAAAATCAGAACACTCAAAATGTGAGGAACTTCAAGCAGTGGCTAGACTATCAAAAGGAATTTTAACCAAATCTTGTTACATTTAGCAGTTATCTACCTTACAAAATGTAGACAGTATGTCAGTTGTTTGTGTCCCTTAGCAATAAGAGTAAACTATATACAGTAAAACTCCAGTTGTCCGGCATCAAGTGTCCGACACTCCTGCTAGTTCGGCACCACCTGGAACCTGGAAGTGCTCCAGGCAGCTGGACAATTGGAGCTGCTCTGCCCCGGGCTTCCCGGAATCAGTTGCTGGTCAGTTTCAGCAGTGGCTGACTTGGGGACGCCTGGGGCAGAGCAGCTGGGGTGCTGGGTTGGTCCCGTTGCGCCGCCCCTCAGCATACCGGAGCAGTCGACAAAGGCTTCCCTTGTCAACCGCACCTTGTCTAGACTGCCGCGCTGTGCCAGATCAGCTGATTGTCCACACAGCGCGGCAGCCCTTTTTTTTTTTATGCAGCTTGTCATTGACTATGCTGAGTAAACTATTTTACATGGCTCCATCTACGGAGCCATGTAGTATAGATGTACCCTCAGAGAGCAGTAAAACTGCTTTGGCTGTCATGCCCTAAAACAGTTATGTGGGGACTGTCACACACTACTAATGTTCCCTTTGCATTGTGACTTGACATTGCTCTTATTAACTGAAACCATAGACTTGGCATTAGTGAGGCAGTACTAGTGCATAAGTGAGTGATGTGCCTCAACAGTGGTCATAGGATCTTTCTGAAACGTGGAGCTGTGGGAGTTATCTTTTATCTCATAACCTCGGCCAGAGGTGGGCAATAAGTGGCCTATGAGTTGGATGCTATTTGCCAGGATTGATGCTGGCTGGGCACCAGTCACTTTATTTATCTGACCGTCCACAGGTATGAACACTCACAGCTCCCATAGGCTCCCTCGCTATGCCTCTGCTCTGTGCCAGGCCCCGCCCACAGTCCACCTCTTTCACAAAACCCCCACTTTGTCCCCACAAGTATGTGCCATCCCTGCTCCTTCCCAGAGCTTCTTGAACACTGCAGAATAGCTGTTTGTGGTGGGCAGTAAGCCCTTGGAGTGAGAAGGGGGAGCTAGTCAGTGGGAATGCCAGTGGGAAAGAGGTGCTGTAGGGAAGAGGGCTGAGTGGGTAGCTTGGCTTTCAGTGGGAGCTGAGCACCTGCTAATTTTTCCTTGTGGATATTCCAGCCCCAGAACATCCATGTAATCTGCGCTCATATCTCATAGAAGATTCAAGCCACGTTTGCAGCTTTTTCATGTACGGTAGTGAGGAACTGAATGAACTCCTGAAGAAGTGAGCTGTGCCCACGACAGCTTACGATACCATCTACATTGTTGTTAGTCTTCTAAGGTGCTGCAGGACTATTTGTTGTTTTTAAAGTTTTTTTCTATTACAGACTAACACAGCTACCCCTCTGAAACTTTTGTTTCTTTGCCTTCTCTTGACAGCAATAAAG